TAAATTTAGCAATAGAGAGCATAAATACAACAAATTGAACAGACCTTTGATTGACACAGTTATTCACATCAGCTTTGCACGATCGGTAAAACAACGTGATTCTACGAGCAACCATCAAGACGAGTCTTCAATTCCTCCAACACCAAACATCATACAGAGCCAGTGGCTTTGTTTGTAGTCTTAGAAATGAGGCCGCTGATCAGCAAAATATATAAGGTCCAAGTCCAGTCGCTGTACCCTCTCCTTTGCAATACATAAATAAACAGACCTATGAATAAATATATACATAAAAATAATAAAAAATGAAATATTTAATAACTAGGTAAGTAAATAAGTAGGTTAGTAAGTAAGATAGCAAATAAATGATTTGATGAATAGATTTTAAAAATGAATGAATGAATAAATAAATAAATGAATAAACAAAACAAAACAAAAACTAAGAAACAAATATAAAAATAAATAACTCTCAGACAGACAGACTGAAAGTTGACAGACTGAATGAATGGATGGGTGGATGGATGGATGGATGGGTAGATTCATGTTCCTTTTTGTAACGGAACAAGGTTACAAAAAGGAAATTTGTTCCTTTTTGTAACTAATAGATGTTACCAAAAGGAACATGTGTTCCTTTTTGTAACCTTCTTCCGTTACAAAAAGGAACAAATTTCCTTTTTGTAACCTTCTTCCGTTACAAAAAGGAACAAATTTCCTTTTTGTAACCTCTATGTTCCTTTTTGTAACCTCTATGTTCCTTTTTGTAACCTCTATGTTCCTTTTTGTAACCTCCTTGTTCCTTTTCGTAACCTCCTTGTTCCTTTTCGTAACCTCCTTGTTCCTTTTTGTAACCTTGATAGGTTACAAAAAGGAACTCCTACGTTACAAAAAGGAACGTGTTTTTTGTATTTTAAATAGGTAGGCTAGAATGATTATGTGTATTTATTTTTACAATAGTATGTGTGAATTTGTTTCCGTAGACATAATAATTGATGAGTTTTTCGACTGTAGTTACATTTGTTTGTGAAAAACGAAACGATTTTATACTTTTTAAAGTTGCCATAGTAAGGCACCAATTTATCTTCTTTTTTTTTCATCAACGCAGAGCCATTGTTAATTTAACTATTAAGTGCGCATGTCTTGTGATTTCTTGATATGTTAAAGGGCAAATATTTGATATGCAGAACAAAATGTATTTTAAAAACATTATTTCCCTTTTATCTTACTACTTTACATGCTTGTAAATATGATACTTGAATTTTATCGAATGTCATTAACATCCCACATTGTAACAAGTTGCAGCATGAGGTAAGTAGGATATTTTGATGTGGAATATATGTARCTCCGGTTGACGAATATTTTCCAATAAAGGTAAGTGCAATATATACTTGCCCCAACACCATGCGGATGAAATGCTCTGGATATTTGTATGGGTGCCCCCCATAGCACCCTAGAATATCCAGTAACACATGTGAGGGGATGGACAACAGAATAAGAATGAWTTMTTGATGAATGATTGAAATGAATGCTTTTCTGGATATGCTATTTGATGCTTTAACTTGAAAATTTAAGGTACGATATAATGATTTTTATTAATCTTTTAACAAAAACCAGATGACCGACAATGCTTCTACCCCATGGAAAAACCCCAAAAAGCGACAAAAGCATACTTGCCCTGTACCAATATGCAAAAAGTCAGTGGTACAYCTTCCCCGCCACCTAACTAAAACTCACAAATGGAGTCGTGAAAAAGCTTTGGAAGCAATGTCTCTTTTTAATCTAAGGGCAAGGGCAAAGAAAACACCCTGCCCAGTCAAAGGGTGTAGGCTATCAGCAGTTGATATGCATAGGCATTTAAAATTGCGGCATAGCATGAGCGAGAAAGAAGCAGAAATAACTATGTCCTTGAAACCTAAAATCCAGARCAAAGAAGAAGAGAATGCAACAGTCAAGAAAAGGGAATTTAAGCRTAGGGTGTGCCCCTATCCTGATTGTAATCTCGTCGTACGAAGAATACATAACCACCTGAGAGATAAGCACAAGCTTTCTAGACATGATCCATGTTACAGAGAGTATTTGAAGAGCGCAAGATTTGAAGAACTCAACGAAGATCTAGATCCAGTTTCAATTTTTTCTGCATCGTCATCGTCAGGCAAGGAAAGTGATGCTGAATCACAAGTAGATGATTATAATAATGAAGACCAAAATAGTACAACGACATCCTCATTGTTGTGTGATGAAGAAGACGCATTAGCAAAGCTCATTCGTAACAAGTCTGAAAAAGCCAAAGCTATCATGAGATTTGGCTGCAAGGAGGTTGATGCTAAAACAAAAGAAATGGAATCCAGTTTCACTTTCAGTGAGTCGCATTCTTCAACACCGTCAAGAAAGACACACAAAAGACAAAAGGAAGTGGTGATTTCTTCAGAAGATGAGGATGAAAACGAAGAAAATGAAGAACACATTCAAAATGATCAAGCTGGAAGTGACCCAGGTATTATCCCCCCCTCACCAAATACAAATGAGCGAAGAAGTGTTGTTTTTAAACAGATACTTAACAGAGTTCATGGCAAAGAACCTCTGTATCTTCCTACTCGACAAAATGCATTACCAGRAGAACAATCTATTCCAATCATATGGAATAAAACAAGCGGAAAAACACAACTAAATGCCAGTGATAAAGGAACAGTGAAAGATAAGTGTTCTGGCTCTGAAACTTCCAAGATTACTTTAGAGCGCCCCAAGAGGAAAATTGCAGCTACCATAGGTAGGCTTGATTCAGAGKCTTACTCTATTAGTAGTSGTAATAGCTATGATGACGAGGAGTATGAACCCACAGAGGAAAGYGATGAAAGTGAGGGGGATGAGTGGGAAGATGAAGAGGAATTGGAATTAAATGATAACAGAGAAGCTAGTGCTGCTGCATGTGGGAATTCAAAGACAGAACAAACCCTTGAAGATTTCAAGAATTGGTTGCAAGGAATAGACGGCGGTCGAAGGGAACTACGAACAGCAAGGCAGTATGTATCTCAGGTTTCTACTATAATCAGCTGTGTTGATCCTATTAACCGAAATGTTTCTTCACTATTGAACRAGAAAGACATCCGAGATAAATGGTTAGCCAAGATGGAAAAAGTTAAAAAGCCTGGGACCTGCAAAGCTTATTTGGGTTCCCTTTCAAGATTTCTGAGATTCATCATTGTTGAGAGGCCGAGGGGTCTAGAAGCAATAAAAGATCAGGCTTCCAAGGTTCGTGAACAAGTCCAAGAGTGGATGTGCTCCTTTAAAGCCCCATTAGCTGAAAGAAGATGGGAAAAGCTGAGAGAAGACTTCGAGAAGCTAATCAAGCCTGAAGACGTGCAAAACTTTAATAAATCAGAGCATGCCAGGAAGGCAGTTTCCACCCTGGGACAATATATGGAAAAGAGTGCGCCCCCTTCACCAGCCCAGAGTGATTATTGCCTTGTTAGAGATCATCTCACAACGCTTTTATGCATTGAAAATGCCTGTAGAGCAGGGCCGCTCTCCAACATGACCCTTGGGGAATTGGAAAACGCTAAACAAGATGGAGATCAAGTGGTTGTCACGGTCATGAAACACAAGAATCTAATTTCTCACGGTCCAGCTGCAGTGGTACTAAGTCCTACTGTTCTTAAGTGGTTGAATGCTTTTGTGAAGTACATGCGAAACAAGCTACCAGGGGCTGGTACCAGCAAACAAGATAAAGTATTCATCAGTTGGATGGCAAAACCAATGTCGTCATCTATGATTTCGGCCCAACTGAACTCCTGCTGGCATAAAGCTGGTGGGAAAAAGCTTGATAGSGTGAATGCAGCATCATTCYGAAAGGCAGCAGTATCTGTGGTTCATGAAGAGCATGGACACTTAAAGGATGATCTGGCTGATCTGATGGGCCATCACACCAAGACAGCAGAGAAGTTCTACCGAATTCGTCAAAAGACAAAAAACGCTGCTAAAACATCGGAGGCCCTTAGGAAGATCATGTACACTCCACGTAATGGATCAGAAAGAACAAAAGGAGTTTCTAAAGAGACCAGCCAAAACATGATATCACCAGCAAAACAACAAGGCCAAGAACTTCAAATCAGCATGGCTGCTTCCAAGATCGACTTTGAAGAGAAGGGAGTCCAGGAGAAGTCTGTAGCAGGAAATTCAGAAGAGACAGTAACAACGAGGAGACACCAGTGGACTGAAAAAGAAAATTCTGCCATTGCTACCATTTTTGCAAATGATATACAGAAGAAATGCATAACAGTGGAAAAGGTAAAGGCCAAAATTGAAGGCAATGCGCTCTTYGGGAAAATAGCACCTGMTAAAATAGTTGACAAGGTCAGGTCCTTAATCAGGGMACAGAAAAGCAAYGAAAAGGCATCAGCAGAGCTTCCGACTGAGACAGAAACGACGCAGCAAAGAGTACAGCGTACACTGAACGAYGACGACAATGTTTCCTTATATACTTCTGGTGTAAGCAAGAAAGGTGGAGCAACCTTCACAGATGATCAGACGGAGATATATTGGAGGTTGTTTAGAGACTTGATTGAAAGCAATGCCAGAGTTGACAGACAAACAGTCTCAAAAAGAATAGAARAGGACGAGGAAGCAAGAGAAGCAATAGTAGGGTTTACACCTCAGCAGCTCTGCGACAAGATCCGCACAGAGCGTAGAAAAATTGCTAGGAGTGCTGTCAAAAGGGAGGTTGTGTCTGGTCGCTTCTAAAGTTACTTATGACAAAAACATTTAACACAGAGGGTTTAAGCAACTGAGTTATTATATCGTTTTATTACAACTGTTGTTGATTTTATTCATGAGTTGAAKAGTTGAAGTTAAACCGAAGTTTTAAGCATCAAACGTTGTTAGGTACAGTTTACATATTGCATTGGTGAGGCACAGTCGCGCAATGTTATGCCTGCATGCGAACGCCAAATGGATATTATGTCTGTTGTCAGTTACYGTTAATATTGTTAATAGCTTGTGCATTTAATATGATTTTACGCTAAAACATAAGTGCTCTGTTACAGATTTTCTGCACAAATAAGTCCGTTATAAGCCATCAAACAAGGAAATGTAGTAGTTGTTTTTACTGCGTTTTTACACCGTGTTCCTTTTCGTAACCTCTTACTTATAACGGTAAAAAAATCAGAAAAAGGGTTGTCGTGAAATGCCTGTAATTGTTACATTCATTAAAGATTAACATATCAGGAAACACCATAGAAACCAAAACAAAAAGCATTTAAATCATTTAAAAACTGATATCTTCCCACCTCCCTGTAAATGTTCCTTTTTGTAACTTTTGGGTATTTTTGACGTGCTAGGGRAAAAAATTAAAATTCCAAACGGTTACAATCTTTTTTTGTCATACTGTCATATGTTATTAACATATAATGCTGCAATCTAAAGCACCATAGTTTTTAACTAGCCCTGATATATCGAAGCCAGAATTTCAGTTTGCACGGATGCGATAGATTCGTCCAAAAACCCTGATTTTTATGATCTTATCAAAACARACAATTTATCCCAAAAATCGCTGTAACTTTTTAACATCTTTTCAAAATTTCTTCAAGTTCACACAATACTTAGTTCAACTCTTAATGTAAATGCTCCGTCGAAAGAAACGCAATAGCTGAAAGCAATACAAAGTTATACCAGTATTTGTAACTCCACTCGCTTTTTGCATGTTTTGAAATTTTCTGAAAYCCTAGTGCGATATGAATTTCATATACCTACACTTGATTCAAAAGTTTCAAATTTAAACTGTTTTCAAAACTTATCTGGTAACAAGAGGGCCATGATGCATTGCTATATTCTTGATCTATCCCCATGCTTCTGCATATTTTCGAATTTTAGGGCATTTTCCTAACAGAAACCAGAGGCATGTTCCTTTTCGTAACATTTTTGCTTACTTTTTCTTAATATTCCAAGACAAAAAAAGCTTTACACCTGAAATTCCTACTTTTATGAAAACTCTTAATTATCTTGTTAACTGCAGTAAAAGGAGTCAAAAATTTAACTTATTTTAGCAAAAGGTCAACTTTGAAAAAATGTTACAAAAAGGAGTGAAGATGAATCTATGGGTGGATGGATGGATGGATGGATGGATGGATGGATAGTACCATGAACTGGAATCTCAAAATATTTCAATTTTTTTGCAGTGAATTATATAATACCATCTAAGTCTCTTGCGTACCGTTTCACGCTACATTGACAGTTTAAAACCTGCGATTACTCACAACTCGCATGCTGCAGAAAAACAGCAACCTTGCATTGAGGCTACCGCCCATCAAATAAACTCGCAAGTGGTCACAGAAATTACCGCAGCGAATGGACGCGGCGCTTAGAACGACCGTTGCCCTTGAAAGGCGAAAGTTTTTTAAAATCCCACCACGATGTAAGCACATCTATTCAGCCGAATAGATGTACCTCGTACGTTATATTTACTTCAATACATACACTTACCTCATACACTTGACTTACCTCTCGCTAGACAAGACCTTTGAAAGAGTCTCTTTTTTTTTAATTGTTTTGTCTTGTCTTGTTTTGTTTTGTTTTCCTGCTCGAAGCTTGGAGTGAGTGCAGCAAGCTATATATAGTGAACCGCTCACGATCTCGAAGAGGTTGAGAAAGGAGCCTGGAAGTTAGCGTCCCTTGGTAGCTTCGTGAAGAATAGCTTCACGAACTGGTCATTTCTTTTATATTGCACGGTTACATAACATTATATCACATGTTCGTGTAGCAGATGCCTTATAGAGAGTGACACCATCAGGGGTGGGTGTCAAACGTTGTTTAGAAAAAAGAAAAACAGCTTGGAATGATTATTTTCTCGATTTTTCCTCTGGCACAGAATCTTCAAGGTTGCACAAAATTAAGTAGGTAATCATCTTTGGAGAGACATGTTGTTTGAACGGATGTCAAACTTTGACTCTTGGTTGAAATGCCAGCTTTACTCTTGTTTTTATTATAATAAAATTCACTAAGATTGGTTTCAATTGTGTTTATAGCAGAGTTCTTCCTCATTTTAATTATTTTTGTAAATTAAAATCTCGATTATTGTCTTCTTAAATCTCATTAACTCAAAACTGTTCAAGATAATCGAGAAGCTAACAAAAAAATAGGAACACTTAAAGGGGTTAAATACGTCACCTGCTGTGATTTGATTGATTATTGATTGGGTGATTGATATGTTTTATAATGAAGAGATGAGTTTGAAGGGAACCGCGTGAAATAAAAGAAAATCTGATTTCAGTTTTTAATGAATGTCCTGAGGTTCTGGAATCAATCTTTTATTTGCTTTGCTTTTTGT